TAAGTTGAACTAAATTCAGAAATTTTAAATCTTTTTTTAAAAAATGCTTGAAACTATTGTTTGAAGCAAGGTACGATTCCCCTATGATGAATGCTATCACTATATACATATAAAATGTACCAATAAAAAAATTCAAGGAAAAATGTTAAAATTAAAAATTAAAAAAAAAAGGTGGCAGCTCCCCAACCTGCTCGGCCTCTGTGGCTCTCCAAGGATGGGTCCCCACAAACTCTGCTCCCCACGGTGGCTCGGCCAGGTTCCTCTGTCTGCTGACTCCTCAGTGTCCCCAAAGCGTCCCCTGCATTTGACCCCTGCAGCCTTTTTACCTATCTTGTCTGCACAGGCAAATGATTTGACAGCAACCGGGTACCCATCCCCCTTGGGCTGCTCCACACACCCTGAAGGAGCTCGTCCACCTGGAGGGACGCAGAGGGGTGCCCGCGCCCCATGGCTTCTCAGCCAGGATGGGGTCCATGCTGCTGACCCCCGAGGGCGGAGCAGTCACCTCCCGTAACCTCCCGAGCCCACGTACTTGCTGTCCTCGCTGTCCAGCAGCCCCCGGTACGTGTCGATCTCGCCCTCCAGCCGCGCCTTGGTGTCCAGCAGCAGCTGGTACTCCTGGTTCTGCCGCTCCAGGTCGCAGCGGATCTCGGCCAGCTGCGCCTCCACGCTGTCGATCAGGCCCTGCATCTGGGCCAGCTGGGAGCTGAAGCGGGCCTTGGTTTCTGCCAGGGTGTTATCCAGAGAGTCCCTCTAAGAGGAAGGAAGGAAGGAGCCAACTGTGAGGACAGAGCTACGACCACGGTCCTTGGCCTGGCTCAGAGAGAACAGGACAGTCTCTCTCTCTCTCTCTCTCTCTCTCTCTCTCTCTCTCTCTCTCTCTCTCTCCCTCTCCCTCCCTCCCTCCCTCCCCCTAAATCAGTCTTTGTCACTGGGCTTTCATGGAAACTGAGGAAAGACTGAGCGAGTTCTTCACAGGGAAACGCCTGATATGCGGCGGAACAGGGGCTTGAACTCAAGTTCCAGATCTGATCCCAAATCCCTTCTCTCTTCTGCAAACTTAGGCTGCCTTCAGGCTTCAGATCTAGGGCACTGCTTAAGGCAGTGGATTCCAACCCTGGCTGGGTGACGTGTAAGTCACATAGATTTTGTTGTTGTTGTTGTTGTTGTTGTTGTTTATTTGTTTTTTGGTTTTGTTTGTTTTGTTTTGTTTGAGGAAACCAGGATTGAACTCAGGCCCTTGTGCTTGCCAGGGAAGCGCTTATTCTCCTGAGCCATTTCCCCGACCCCACATAGACATTCTTGAAAGCCACCATACCCAGCTCCCATCTGAAGGGAATTTGGCTTTGTTTCTCCGGAGAAGAACCCAGATACCAAGACTTTCTGGGTCTCTCTGGGTGAGGCAGAGAACCAGGCTTTGAGGGCAACTGTGGAGAGGTGGCCTCTTACAGAGCTGTTTCACAGCATGCCACTGACCCTCAAAGGAATCCGTCCCCTGGCCCTTCTGCCTCTGAGCTGGCCCTTGGGACAACCCTCCCTCCAGGGACATCAGTGAAGGGTGTGTCTGGCAGCCGAGACCCAGACCTCCTGCCCCTGGTGTGGCGCTGCCTCATGGCCAGGACTGTGGAGCAGCACTCACCAGGCTGTTCTGGGCCTGCAGCTCGATCTCCAGCGCGTTGGCCGTTCGCTTCAGATCTATGATGTCTGACTGGTAGTTCTGCAGCTGCACAGAGCTCGTGGCCACCTGCTGGTTCAGCTCCTCCATCTGCAGGGCAGAACAGGCACAGCTGGAGCAGCCTTTCCAGGGCCCTGAGGAGCGCGGCCCGGGGAGGGCACGGCACCCACCTGCGTTCTGAACCACTGCTCCACGTCCTTGTGGCCAGCCTCCACCATGGCCTCATACTGGCTCCTCATGTCCTCCAGTGTGCGGGTTAGGTCCACAGGGGGCGCAGCGGTCACCTCAATGTTAAGGCGGTCCCCAAGCTGGCTCTGGAGCTCAGCAACTTCCTGAAAAGCCATGAGAGACAGGCAAGTGAGAAAGTCATACAGCCCTGGCTCCCCTCCAGGGACACGTGGACCCGGGTGACACAGGTGCTGAGATCTCGGGCTGGGGGCCTTGGGCGGTCTTCCTACTCCAGCAGGACACCCTTGTGACAGTAGCCTTCTGTCATTTGGACAGGAGCCAAAGGAGTGGCAGGGTTGGTGTGGCCCATGTGGGCTGAAAGGAGAAACCCACGCCTCAGCTTCCCTGTCACCTCCCAGCCTGCCCATGTGGGGAGGAGGTTGGCAGAGCCAGGCTGAGCTGGCTTCGGGGTGCAAGTGAGAGCAGGCACCCCCTCAGCGTGGGCGCCAACGAGAGAAAGTCGTCAGGAGCTGCCCTCAGGTGTATTGTGCCGCCGCCTCATTAGCGGCCTCCTGGTGCCATGCCCGCTCTCCTGCTGGAGTGGGATGAGCCAGGCGCCAGAGGGTGCCCGGGCAGCATTCCTGATGGCTGCTGCTTTATGCTTCAGCCTGAGGCACCCAGCCAGGATTGGAGACACGCGCTCACTTGGATCCCCAGTAATCAGGGGAAGGAGAATCAGGCTGTGGGACATCCCCCAGGACCTGCCGGAGATGAAGACAGCATGGCAAAGGCTGCCCCATGCCTTTGGGAAGTACAGAGACCAACTGAAGGGAGCAAGGTGGAGGCAGAAGGGAAGGAAGCCGCTGCGGACTCTCTCCCTGCTCTCCGTGCTGCCGATGAGGGGCTCAGAATGGTGACATGCAGGAGCCAAGTCACAGAAGCAGCAGGGGGATCTCACCCCACAACTGTGCGGCCCCAGGCCCCGTGTCCCTCCCACCCCACCTCCCAGGGCTTCACTTCCAGCCCCACCTCCTCATGGTTCCTCTTGAGGCAGAGCAGCTCCTCCTTCAGCGACTCCACCTGCGCCTCCAGGTCGGACTTGCACAGGGTCAGCTCGTCCAGGATCCGGCGCAGGCCGTTGATGTCGGCCTCCACCAGCTGCCGCAGGGACACCTCGGTCTCGTACCTGCGTGAGGTCAGGGTCAGCCCCCGAGAGCAGATCCCCCAAGACGTGTAAGGGGACACACATGTGCGCACGCACGCACACACACACACACACACACACACACCTGCGCTCCCTGCCCCCTGCCCACTCACTTGGTCCTGAAGTCATCAGCAGCCAGCTTGGCATTGTCAATGTGCACCACCATCCTGGTGTTCTCCGCCTTGGTTAACAGAACCTGCGGGCCGAGTCCCACCAAGAGAGTTAGCCCAGGACAAGAAGAAGAAGCCATCCCCAGTTCCACAAAAAAAAAAAAAAATTAATTAAGAAGAAGAGGAAGAGGAAGAGGAGGAGGAGGAGGAAGAGGAGGAAGGAGGAGGAAGAGGAAGAGGAGGAAGGAGGAGGAGGAAGAGGAAGAAGAAGAAAAAAGAAGAAGGAGGAGACGGAGAAGGAGAAGGAGAAGGAGAAGGAGAAGGAGAAGGAGAAGGAGAAGGAGAAGGAGAAGGAGAAGAAACCAAAAAGGAAAAGAGTCAAGAAGTAGCCCTCTCCGCCGGCATTCGAGGTTAAACTTAGCTGCTTATCCCTGAGAACCTGAGAGGAATTCATGAAGCACCAAGGCCTTCAGATATCTAAATGCCCCATTTTGGATGCCACAGGCCACAAAAACAAATTTATTCTCTGCAGTTGCTCTCGTGGCCCAAGGGTGCAGGATACGCACCAACAGCACGTGCGAGGGTCTGCCCCGCTCCTGACAGGCCCTGGATCCTCCTGACAATCCCAGTAGAGAAAGATTAATATTGTCCCCACTCTACAGATGGAGAAAAGGCGACCTGAAGAACCAAAGGAACACCCCGAAGTCAGTGGCAGAGCTGCAGCTAGGTCCAGCGCTCTGCGCACCTGGAGGCCCTGGCTAAGTACTCAGGGTGTGAGATAACCTTCCGCCCTGGGGCCTGCTTAATCTGTGGGGCTCGGATCCACAAGGCCAGCCACTGCAGGCCTCCCTGCACGTGCGCTGCCCGCGCCCACCTTCTGCTGCAGCTCCTCGATGGTCCGGAAGAAGGGCTGGTAGTCGGGACTCTTGGCGGTGCGCGGCTGCTTCTCCGACTCCTGGAGGCGCCGCTCCAGCTCTGCGTTCTCGCGCTCCAGCTGCCGCACCCGCTCCAGGTAGCTGGCCAGGCGGTCGTTCAGGAACTGCATGGTCTCCCGATCACCGCTTGCGAGGGAGATATCGGTGTACCGCACGTAGGAACCCATGGAGCTAGAGGTGCTGTAGGGCGACCGGGAGGAGCTGGACAGGGGCAAGTCCGAGAAGCAGTGGGCCGGTGGGGCTGGTTGTGCAGAGGGAGACCGCCGCAGCTCAGGCGGGCAGCTTCTTCGGGGGCAGGCAGAGCGAGCCCAGATCAGCTCTCTGCGGACACCGGCAAAGGTCTGGGGCTGCGGTGGGGTGGGTTTGTCTCCCCACAGCAGCTAACCTGGCTTTCTGGCATGCCCATCCTGCCTCGGCTTTTTTATATCCCTGCATGAGGGGCCTCACACTAGGAAGTCACCCTGGGGACACCCTGATGTTTGCACTCAGCCCCAGAGGAAGCCATTCATTAATTTCTAATTTGGTTTCCAATGAAAAGCTCCTTACCTCATAAAAGAGACCAAACTTGTCATTTAGCTAAAGCGGGACTCGGGGTTCCCGTCATTGATCACCAGGTGAGAGCTTCCAGTCACATCTTCAAAAGGTCAGCTCCATGCCAGGGCCCTCATTATGGAGGTGTGGTGGCCCTGCCCTCCAAGCCCACCCACCTCTGCCCCTGGAGGGCAGCCCAGCTGCGGAGAGCCAGCCGCCCCCTTAGTGACAGTGGCCCCGTGGGAAGAGGCCTGGCCTTCAACCAGGAAGCTTGCGGGGGACCAGAGCGGCCCTGGATGGGCAGTGGTATCTGTCCAAGGGGACAGGAAAAAGATGTCCCACAGCCTCCAAGGAGAAGAAGAGAGAAACCAGACACGTCAGCCTCCACAGGAGAAATAAGCAAAATGAAAGGCAAGAGGAGCGGGGAGAGAGGTTGTGAATAGAAGGGACGGCAAGGTGGGAGGAGAGGGTGGAGAGATGTCCTGTCCCGCGCCCACTCCCCCAGGGGCCTCCAGTCATTGTGTGCAGCCAACGTGGACTCATAAAAGTGTTTATAAAGTCAGGGAGGTAAGACCAAGACACAAAGCGCCTCCACAGTCGGGCATCCTTTCAGGTGGCTAGAGTGAAAAGAGCTGAGACCACCCCGGGAAGCAGGTCCATGTCATGGACACCTCCGGGGGACAGGTGGCGCTCACGGCTGTCAGGGATGATAGCCTATCGCTGGGAGCCGGCTGGAACTAACTGGGCTTTTGCTTCTTGTGCTGGTGGACAGGGAGGCTCACGGGGCCCCCGGGATGAGGCAGTGTGCATCAGCCCCCCAAGAGGGGCGCGCTGTGGCTCCGGCCTGACTGAGCCAGGGGACCAGGGCCAGGCACCTTCATCGCAGGCCCTCAGCATCCTCCGCAAGCAGCACGCTAGACCAGAGGTGCTTAGGCCTGGCTGAGAGCCCAGCACAGGCAGGCGGGAGAGGAAAACGCCCGCAGCCCTTGCACTGCTCCAGAAAAGCCAAAACAGAGGCGCTGCCTCCTAACTTGGGACAGTCACTTGGCCTCTCCCGGCCTCAGGGTCTCCGCGTCATCTCCCAGTTCGCTTGATGACATCTCCCAGTTCGCTTTCCTGTGTGGACCGTAAAGCCCAGCCCTTCGAAAGAGCTTCCCGTGTTAAAAATGGAGACAAAACAAACTGAAGAATGGAGCATAACAGAAAAATGGAAAACAGACATGAAGCAGAAGTGCCCTGGTGTTCGACCTGTCTGTGCATTCGGGCACCTAATAGCCCCAGCGGCACAGATGGAAGTTCTTCCCTGAAGCCAGAATTGCATGTCACAAAAGAGGAATGAACTGGGAACAAAAACTGCCTTTGGAAATAAAAGTGTAACTGAAATGTTAAATTCCATCCAAATTAAAAGATCAAAAAGGCACAGTGAGGACAAGTCATGCCTAGACAGGGGACAGGAAGCGCCAGTGTGAGGGTGAGGTCACAGCCCCCCGAAGCCCTCTCGTCCTGATTGTACTGCCAAAGGCCCTCCACTGAGGAGTGAGCCTGCACCCCCAGAGAGGCCTCGAGCATCCAGTGCCGGGCCGTACCCCGGGCCCACCGAGGCAGAACAGCTCGCGGTCCGAGCTGGCACGAGTCATTTCGGCAGCTCTCCGGGTTGTCCCATTGGGCAGGCGAGGCCAGGAGCACCTGGCTGCGTGGAAGCCGAGTCAGAATTGGCCAGCACAAGTCTGCACAGTGCTGGGGACAGGTAGGCTGACACTCGACTTGCTGATTTCCATCTGGAAGGAAACTTGGATGGGTATGGAAGGGACCCATGCCACTAAGAAAGCCATAAAGGAGCGTGTCGCCTCACTGGAGCCATGTGGCATGAGGGCATTGTGTCCTGCTGACCGTAACATCCCCTATAACAAGCCAGTTGGCACTGGACACTAACTCAGGTCTCTGCCCGTCCACTCTCACCAGCCCACTTACCCTTGGGCCTTGCCATCTGGAAAGAAACCATGGAAGTGAAATTGCAGACATGGAAAGCGCAGCTGCAAGCCTGACACGTGCCTGAGAGTTGACCCAGACCAGCTCCCAGGTGCCCGTGGTGCACTCATCTGAGTACTGGGGACGTTATAGGACTGGAAGGGCTATGGTCTTTATCGTTCTCAGGGGAAAGCTGAGGCACAGGAAACCAGTAAGACCTGCTGGCACTCCTGCACATACTTGGGGCCGGGGCTGGGATTTGAATCCAGTCCAACTCCGTCTTTAGCACCCAAACACAAGGTTCCTTCCTTTGGGGGACCCCACGTGTGGCAATTCAAGCACCCTCAGCATTTATTGAGGGATCTGAAGGATTTACAGGTAAGGCACAGACGGACATGGGGCTCCCAGCACCTGAGCCTGCTGGGTTCAGAACGTCCTTTCCAAGTGGACCAGATTCATTCCCCGAGCATCCCTGTGGGGAGGGCAGCAAGGCGCAGCTCACACCCCACACTATGCCGTGACCCTGCCCTACCAAGCGGGATGGAAAGTAGGAAGCGTCCCGCCCCCCATCCCTCCCTCAAAGGCCAACCCTGTCCCGTGCCTACTGTGCTGCCCGCACTTGCCAGCCCTCAGGGAGGGATTGTGGGAGGGAGGCAGTGGCCCTGCAGCCACCCCACCCGGTAGGAGCCTGAAGTTGAGGGGGGCAAGCTGCTGGGTGCAGGGCTGGGGGGAGGAGCCCACAGTGAACTCAGGGGGACCCAGTCAGCCAGCCACAGGGCAGGCTCAGACCCTCAGCAAGCAGCACCTTTGCCACTCTGTTTCAGCCTCTAATGTCGCCAAGGCCTTTTGCAAGTGTCCCTGGCATCATCAAAGTGCACGTGGGCATCTGGGTTCCACCCTTGCCCCTTCCCCCAGGAGGGGAGGACTTGGAATCAGCCTTGATGGTTTGGAGAGGACATCTGGACACAAGCAGATCCTCAGCCATCTGTGTGTCATGCACCTCATCGGATGGCAGGGCCCCTCAGAAACATCCAGGTCCCCCAAGAGCAGCACCTTGGGTTCCGGGTGTAGTCCTGAGGGCAGGGCTCCTATTGCCTGCCCCGATGGGCTGTGGGCTGAGAAGGGTGTTGCTGAGCCCAAAGGGCTTCATGAGCAGATCGCACGAGTGATGCAAATGCACCCCCAGAAGTACCCCGAGTTCAGCTAGTACATCGCGGTGCTTACGAAGGCCAGACGGGGACCCCAGATGCGTCCCGTTGGCTGGTGCAGTTCTACCAGTCTAGGGCTGGGCCCAGGCCAGATCCTAGCGCAGGTCTTTCACACCTGTGCCCATGCCAGAACCCTGAAGAGAGGTCTTCCTCTGGGACCCAAGCAAGGAGTCTCAACCTCTGCCTGGCCAGACCAGGGACACACTTAACCAAGTCACCCCGAGCCCAGCAGGGACACAAACCAACACTAATCATGTGACAAAAGCGCTTTATTATCTCACCAACAGGAGCCTCAAGCTGCATTTCAGTCTCCTGGGACACACAGGAAGCAAGACTGACCCAGGAGCCGGCAAAAGCCGCAGACCCCAGCCGCTGAGGTGCTGGGGCAGGGGGAGCCCTCAGGACGCCGCCCTCAGGCCCAGCTCAGAGAAGCACAGTGCTGATGGCAGTGAGACCTCCCGGGCCTCAGCTGGGCTCCGCATGGAGCAAGGAGACGGAGCTGTGAGTCGGCAGTGAGCAGAAGCCAGCTCCCAGTCCTGGACACGTGGCCTGGGCCCTCGGGGTCAGCCGCTCTCAGAAGCGGCCCCCAGGGCAGGGCACACACACAGGGTGGGGGCTGCAGGTGGTGCGGGCGGTGACAGGACTGCAGGCGGCCGCCGGCAGGCAGGGCAGGCAGGCCTTGGAGGGCGAGTAGTCCGTGGCACACGGGTTGCAAGGGAGCCTGTGACAGAGGGAGAGCCAGGTTCCTGTTATTTCTGGGGGTTGATCTCAGGGATTCTGAGCAGATCCCAGAATACCAAAGTGGGAGACACCTCAAAGATCACTGAGTCCTGCCCCCTTTGTTTTCTCAAAAGGGAAACCAGAGACCCAGAAGGGGCAGGGGCCCGCTGGAGTGGCAAGATGACACTGCCCCAGGTCAAGGCGCCTCCTGGGCTGCGTGGTGCCTCCCCAGAGGCTCGGGCTGCAACGGCCCTGCGCCACACTCACTTGCAGTCCTCGCTGTCCAGCAGCCCCCGGTACGTGTTGATCTCGCACTCCAGCCGCGCCCGCACGTCCAGCAGCACCTGGTACTCCTGGTTCTGCCGCTCCAGGTCAGCCCGGATCTCCGCCAGCTGCGACTCCACGCTGCTGATCAGGCCCTGCATCTGGGACAGCTGGGAGCCGTAGCGGGCCTCGGTCTCCGCCAGGGTGGACTCCAGAGCGTCCCTCTGAGAGGGCAGAGGGTAAGGAAGGAGGAAGGAGTTAGACTAAGCAGGAACGAGGTAGAGGGAGCCCTTGGGCTCTCAGGGCAGCCTCAGAACCGAATGCAGAAACTCAGGGTCTCTCTTTGAACTATGGCAGCACCATCGGGCATCTCACTTGCAGACCCACCAGTGTCACTGGCTGCACCCACGGGAAGCCCCGACTTACGGCCTCTCGGAGTGGCCGACCACTGCCCAGAGAGATGCCAGCTGCTCTGGACATCTTGTTCACCCCCAGAGGCCACCTGTGGCTGGGCTGGGTCCTCCTCCTGCCCGGCTCAGAGAAGCCCAGATGCTCGAGAGCTGAGCTCTGTGCCTGCCTGCAGTTGGAGCGCGGAGCTGGCAGCCGTGCACCAGGGGGCTCACCATGCTGTGCTGCGCCTGCAGCTCGATCTCCAGCGCGTTGACCGTGCGTCTCAGCTCGATGATGTCTGCCTGGCAGCTCTGCAGCTGCTCCGAGCTCGACACCACCTGCTGGTTCAGCTCCTCGGTCTGTAACACGGGGGCGGGGGCGGGGGGGACCGACCTGGTCAGGAGCCGCAGGGACTCAGCCTCAAAGCGCCCAGAGCTACCTAGAACCAGGTGTCCAGAAGGCCCTCCCTCTGCAGCTCACGTCAACCCCAGCGTCACAACTGCACAGAGCATGGCGGGCAGCCCAAGGCAGCGCAGTGAGGCCCAAAAGCATGACCAAAACTAAGGCTCCTTGACTCAGAGCCCCCATGGGCTTCCACGCGCCCAGCCCACACCTCTGCTCTACCTGGGTGTCAAACCAGTCCTCAGCCTCCCGGCGGTTGTTCTCCACCAGGGTTTCGTATTGGCACCGCATCTCATCCAAAACACGGTTCAGGTCCACCGGCGGGGCGGCGTCTACCTCCACACTGAGCCGGTCACCGAGTTGGCAGCGCAGAGAGTTCACCTCCTGCAGTATGGCCCATAGTCAGTACCAAGTCCAGTGCTGCTGCCTCCCATGCCGCCCGCCCCCCCGGCCCCGCCCACTCCTCGGCCCCGCCCGCCCCCGGCCCGCCCACTCCTCGGTCCCGCCCACTCCTCGGCCTCACCTCCTCGTGGTTCTTCTTGAGGCAGAGCAGCTCCTCCTTCAGCGACTCCACCTGCGCCTCCAGGTCGGATTTGCACAGGGTCAAGTCGTCCAGGATCCGGCGCAGGCCGTTGATGTCGGCCTCCACCAGCTGCCGCAGGGACACCTCGGTCTCGTACCTGCGGCACGGAACAGGGACCGCATGTCTGCCTTTCCTCGAGCACTCGGCTCCTGCCCCAGTCCAGCCTGGTGTGAGTGAGTCCTTTGTGCATCCGGACTGGTGCAGGCATCACGGGTCCCGCCAGCCTAGGCGGGCAGGGCACTCACTTGGTCCTGAAGTCGTCTGCGGCCAGCTTGGCGTTGTCGATCTGCACCACCAGTCGGGCGTTCTCCGCCTTGCTGCACAGGGTCTGGGGACATAAGGAAGTGACTTCAGCCACAAAAGGGCATTTCTGTTGCTCGGAGCTCCCAGAACTGGCAGATGATGCCCGTGGAGAAAGACACTTGCCTGCCCTGGACTCCAACAGAGCTCATACTAGCTAAAGGACCAAACTGTGGGGCCTCCAAGGTCCCCCAGAGAGGCATCTGCGACCTGTAGCCCCAGGCTGGACAGCAGGCGTAACCACACGGCAGGAAAGGCCCAGCACAGCACCACAGGGCTTCTCCCTGCCCTCTAGGCCTGCTGGGCACACCGCAAGTCATTGCCAGCATGTGCAGAGACCCTCCGGTCCTGAACTCTCTCCGCCCCTAGCTGGGACCTTTAGGGGAGAGGCCTGGGTAAGAAGAAAGCTTACGGCGTTACCTATAGGAAGACAGCCCTGCACTAAGCACATCCAATCCAGTAACTACACCTTAAAATTATGAAACTAAAGCTCAGAAAGTGGTCAGCAGTACTAAAGGTCACACCACTGGCCAGCCTCATAGAGCCTATCACAACGTTCTGGCACTAATAATTGTCACTGGTGTCAGCTGGCCAGCCGGAGCCCTGGTGCCCTCATGTGTTCCCTGGCAACAACAGGCTCCGGGCAGCCAAAGCCACCACACGCGCAGCCCAGCCCCTCACCTTCTTCTGCAGCTCCTCAACGGTGCGGAAGTAGGCCTGGTAGTCCGGGCGCATGTAGGGCACCTGCTGCTCACACCACTCGCGGATGCGGCCCTCCAGCTCCGCGTTCTCACGCTCCAGCTGCCGCACCTTCTCCAGGTAGCTGGCCAGGCGGTCGTTCAGAGACTGCATGGTCTCCTTCTCGCTGCCGGTGAGGGCGCCCTCCCCAAACCAGCCCCCCGCCAGGCTGTAGCTGGTAGCAAAGCTTCCAGTGGGGAAGCAGGGAGCAGGGAGGCAGCTGGCGGTCCCGTAGCTGCTTCTGCCCAGCCCCGCCGGGCACACGGAGAAGCTGCGGGGCCCGCGGGACAGCTTGCAGGAGCTGCTGGAGTACATGGTGGCCACGCGGCTGGAGCCCCCGGCAGCCCCTCCAGGGCTCTTGAGGGACCCCGAGGAGAAGCTAGCCTTGAGGCACTTGGAAGCCATGGCCACAGCCGCCGGGCACGAGCGGCAGAGGTCTGGTACCAGAACCCCAACACAGAAGCAGTCCGGGCCGGGATTTATACCTCCGCCCCAGAGGGCGTTGGTCAGACCTTACAAAGTGTTTTCTCCTCATTAAAGATAATTCCACTTTCCACCAAAACCCCTCATTACCCTGTTAGTTAGCTTCCCGCAAACATTTCCCGGCCTCGTAAAATGGGAGCCCCGTTGGAGAGGTGGCTGGGAGACTCGCTCCCACCAGCCACATCCCTGGGAAGACCAAGTCGCCTCAGTTCTTCAAAGGGGCCTGTGATCAGGGCTGGACCTCAGCTCCCTTGTTAAGCCAGCGTGGGAGTCCACTGCCATCCACCTTCACCCCCTTTGATGGGCTGGATCGGAGGGAAAGAGGGGTAGGGGACTCTCAGCCACCATGAGCTGAGGGGACATAGAAAGCTCCCCTCTGGCCAAGAGCACCCAACTGGGGTGACCCACTCTCCCATTTACCCCAGGATTGTGCTGGTTTTAATGCACCGTAATGCACCCACCAGCCTGGGCACAATAAACTACTGGTCAGCCCCCACGGCCGGCTCTGGATGGACAGATCCCTCCCCGGCCAGGAAATCTGTTCTGATAGTGGAGCTTTAGCTCCAGCCAAAATGACTGGAAGCCAGTTCACTGGGTGCCTACCACGCTGACACCTAGACCCGCTCTAGCGGCAGGCCCTAGGTGGGCCTCGGAGAGCTTTTCCAGCCGGCTGCCTGGGAGGGAGAAGTCTTTGAAGCGCAGGCTGCCTGGGGGAGGGAGAGGTCCTGGTTGTAGCTGCTGGGTGAGGAAGTATGTGGGCAGTGCCTGCACAGCTTGCCGAGGCGTCCGCCAAGCAAGTGGGTCATCAGGGAGTTGCTGGGAACCCTGTTGGAACTCTGGTCCTGCAGCTTGGGACCCTGTGTCACCAGTTATGTTCCTATAAGGACAACAGCCATAGTGGCATGCAAGGTTCTGTACCTGCCCACACTCCACGCACTTCCCTACGCCCAGGCACTTTTTGTTTATTGTTTAATTTATTTATTTACTTGGTACAGGGTCTCACCATGCAGCTCAGACTTGTAGTGATCTTCCTGTCTCAGCCTCCCCAGTGCTGGAATTACAAGTGTGTGCCACCATGCCTGGTTTTGGTGGCTGGTACAGCGTGACATGGCCGGCACAGCATGCAGTACCGGGGATCAAACCCGTGTCCTTGCACTTGCCAGGCAGGTGCTTAGACTGCCAAACTATCTCCCTGGACTCCAGGACTTTTCATTTAATGCCAGCACTGGCTGCCACCATATCTGGGGCAATACTGTTCCACTGGAACCTCTTAGCTGGCCCATTCATGGGTGCAGCCACTGAGACCAGCAGGGTCACAAGGTGTGACAGACACCCATTTGTTGGGGACATGAATTCCCCCAGCCCTACCTTCACTCATGTCACACTAACTCCCTTCCCTGCAGGGATGGCTCTGCTTGGCCACAGGGAGTCTGGCCCTCTCTGCTGGGTGCTGGGAGCTATCCCCCACTTTCAAACTGTCCCTGCATCAGGTAGGGATGTGGGAAGAAAAGAGGCAACTGCCAGCTCATGAACGGCCCCACCTCCTCTTCCTTTTTGGGCCACTGGAAGGTGAGTGCTGAATTGGGGGCTGTCACCAGCACCCAGCCAGAGAGACCAGGGCCTGAAGATCTCCGCTATTAAGTATTTGGAATCATCCTTAGCAATTTGGGCCAGAGAAGACATTCAGAAACACACCCCACAACTTCACCACATCCCCAGCAAAAACCCCACTACTTAACCACCAGAAGAAAATCAGCCAGTGTCCCATTTGCTTTGCAACAGAAAACACTTTATTAGAGACATGTCCAGGGGAACCCGGTTTTGCATGGCATAAAAAGCACAGCTAAGACCAGAAACAACACAGAAAGAATTGTGGTAGAAAACCCAGCTAAGCACAGGTCCCTTGGGGACAAAAGGGTGGGGTCACAAGGCAGCTGGGAGCTTCAGGTATCCTCCTGGCAGCCAGTGGCAGGCTCACAGCGGGCAGGGCACCACATGCTCCCTGGAGGAGACGACCTTCCCATCTCTGATCTCTTCTGTGATGGTGCGGATCTGGGTGCTGACCTGGGGGGCTGCCACGCAGGGTGCGGCTGGGGTGCAGGGCCCGGGGAGGATGCAGGGACCCCGCACAGCAGGCTTGCACTCCATTGAGCAAGGGTGGGCAGGGAGCCTAAAGAAGGAAGTCACACAGGGCTGTCCTGGGCTGAGATCCACGTGGGAGGGACTCACAGATCTCACCAGCTGGTGGCCTCAGCCCTTCAGCACCCCTGAAAGGCCATGGGAGGGAGGAAGAGAGAGACAGCTCCAGAGGGCAGGACTCAAAACCCCAGCCACATACCCGTGGCCAAGGGTGCACCTGAATGTGGGTTGGCTGGTCCACCCAAGCATCAGGAAACCCCAGGGCCAGAGGGAGTCTCCGGGGGCTTTGGCACCAACCCTGCCGGTTGTAGGACAAGCACATCAGAGTACGCTGCCCTCCATGGAGTGAGTCCGGCCCAGCCCCCCATTTTCCCAGCCTCTAGGCCCCGTGGCCACTCACTTGCTGTCCCCACTGTCCAGCAGGCAGCGGTAGGTGGCAATCTCCTGCTCCAGCCGCGCCTTGGTGTCCAGCAGCACCTGGTACTCCTGGTTCTGCCGCTCCAGGTCGCAGCGGATCTCAGCCAGCTGGGCCTCCACATTGCCAATCAGGCCCTGCATCTGGGACAGCTGGGAGCCATAGCGGGCCTCGGTCTCGGCCAGGGTGGACTCCAGGGAGTTCCTCTGCCACAGGAGAGAGGAGGAGCTGGATGGGGAGGAAGCCCCACATCCAGAGAATCTGCACACAACTTGCAGTTTGGCCCCGTGGCTGCCCACACTCTGGGACCCAGTGGCTACCAAGGCTGCCCCGAGCCGTGGCACCCACCATGCTGTGCTGGGCCTGAAGCTCGATCTCCAGGGCATTGACCGTGCGTCTCAGCTCGATGATCTCTGCCTGGCAGCTCTGCAGCTGCTCCGAGCTCGACACCACCTGCTGGTTCAGCTCCTCGGTCTGCAGGACATGAGGATACAGGGCATGGTCAGACCATGCCTGCATGGGATGAGCGCACCCCAAAAGCCGTGGGCCCAGGCCGCGCCCGCCCCACCTGGGCGTTGAACCAGGTCTCCACGTCCCTGCGGTTATTCTCCACCAGTGCCTCATACTGGCACCGCACGTCATCTAGAATCTTGTTAAGGTCCACCGGCGGGGCGGCGTCCACCTCCACATTCAGTCGGTCCCCAAGTTGACCACGGAGAGCATTGACCTCCTATGGGCGTGGGGAGCAGGGGAGTGAGACTGTGAAGGGATGCCCGTGCAAGGGGCAGCCCACCTGAGTCCCAGGTGGCACAAGCCCCACCTCCTCGTGGTTCCTCTTGAGGCAGAGCAGCTCCTCCTTCAGCGACTCCACCTGCGCCTCCAGGTCGGCCCTGCACAGGGTCAGCTCGTCCAGGATCCGGCGCAGGCCGTTGATGTCGGCCTCCACCAGCTGCCGCAGGGACAGCTCCGTGTCGTACCTGCATGCATACAGCCCTGCCAGTCTGCACCAAGAGCAGCCACTTCCAACTGCGGGGCTGCTTTGGGGCCAGGAGCACGGACGGTGGCCTCTTCCTCTCCCTGGGCTCTGCCTGGCCCTGTCCCCCTACTGGCTCCCAAAGGCACAGGGGTGAGGCAGTGGCCTGGTTGACCCCACTCACTTGGTCCGGAAGTCATCCGCAGCCAGCTTGGCGTTGTCTATCTGCAGGACCAGCCTGGCGTTCTCAGACTTTGTCAGCAGGATCTGGGGATAGGAGGCTTCCGGTGAGCCAGGGACAGCCCAGCTGTGCAAGGACAGCTCTCAGAGCTGCCACCCTGTCTTCTCCCCTGACACTACACCTCAGGATGCCAGCGGCCATCGGTGCTGACATCTAAGGTCCCCAGGGTGGCACGCAACAGGACGAGGCAGACCTGGGTCAGATCTTTGCACCCAACACTCAGGCTGCGTGACTTGGGCAGTGCGCAGAACTCTCACATCTGAACGTCCTTCTCTGCTGAGTGAGTCCAGTAACATGCAGCTTCCCCCGGCTAGTAGGGTCGGACAGGGTCGGACTCAAGGCTAGACCCAGATGAGACAAGCCACAGGGGACCCGAGGAGGCCCGCCCCAGCCCTGCCCGTACCTTCTGCTGGAGCTCCTCCACAGTCCTGAAGAAGCCCTGATAGTCGGGGCAGATGTACGGGCTCTGGCACTCGTACCACTCGCGGATGCGGCCCTCCAGCTCGCAGTTCGCCCGCTCCAGCTCGCGCACCTTCTCCAGGTAGCTGGCCAGGCGTTCGTTCAGGAACTGCATGGTCTCTTTCTCGTTGCTGTTGAAGGAGCCCTCGCAGAGCCAGCCCCCACTCCCGACGAAGCCAGAGGGGTGGCCCCCCGTGGACAGGCAGGAGCCAGGCAAGAAGCCCCCAGGGCCGGAGAGGCCCAACCTGAAGGAGGAGCCGGAGCCCACGGCACCAGCCAGCCCCGGGACCCTGCAGGAGCCCCCAGAGCGGAAGGAGGACACCCGCGAGAAGCCGCCTGCCGTGCCGCAGAAGGCCCTGCCAGAGCCGGTGGAGAAGGCCGGGGTGCAGAGCTGAGTGGTCATGGTGCTGGCAGAGAGGACGATGGTCGCTGGGCAAGGGACTGCAGGAGGCTCTGGTCTCGCTGGCTCTCGCAGCACTTATATACACTCTCAGTGGGGTGGCGGCGTGCTGCACATTTCTTGCTCTTAGGAAACCCATTTCCTATTCCCGAAAGCTAATTTGATTAGAATGTGACTTTTGCTACCCATCCAGAATTCCTTGCCTTGTAAAAAGAAAAAAAAAAAAAATGTTGAATTTGATTTACTCAGTCAGGACTCTCTGCTATTGTCATTTCCTCACAGAAATGAGTTTTATTGCGTCTTCAAAGAGCCTCTGCCCAGATCCCATAAACCGGGAGCGGCCTGCCACACATTTGCTCCTGCCCTGCCCTCCTGCGCAGTGCCTGACCTGCCCCTTCCTTGCCACCGCTGCTGTCCCCACCCTGCTCATCTTTGCCTGGGCCACTGGGGAGACGGACAGGGAGTGACAGGAACTGGGCTCCGTGGAGCACCCACTGTGCGCCAGCTCTTCTATGTGCATTTCACCACCAGCCTGCAAGGGGCCGGTCACTCTGGCTTCAGCGCAGAAACTGTGGCCCCCAGGACGGCAGCAAAGCTCGCTGGGCACTCAGGAGTGCGCGGTAGCGCCTCCACAGGAAGAGCGCACGTTGGCAAACCCTGCCTGCTTCCGCCACTTCTCCCTGCCCCCATCCGAGGTCAGGTCTGGGCACCCAGAAGCCAGGTGCAGGAACCCCAAGGTTCCAGTCCTTGCTGTGCTGAGACTTCCCCGTGGCACGGGGCGTGTCCCCTCTTTTCATGTCCTCTGATGAGGACAGCAAAGATCCTCAGGCTGTCCTACCCGCTTCACCCAAATATGAGGTGGGCTGAGCAGGACAGTGGAGGAATAAAAAGAGAACAGAGCACTTGCGCGGCCATCGGTCCTGTGGAGGCCTGGCCAGGCTTAGAGAGCCCGTGGCTGTCTTTGATGAGGGTCTGTGCAGGGCACACAGGGTCGTGGGTACGGGCTGGGTGTGTGCCTCCCCCGACAGGGCTCCCCACTGACCCTTGCTTTCTGGATCCCTGACTCCCAGGCCCTGCTCAGGTTACAGAGCCGGCCAGCGGCAGGCCCTCTGGACAGAGAAGAAAAGGAGCAAACCCAGCTCCTGCCAGACAGTTGTGCAAGACAGGGACGGAGGCGGAGGACGAAAGTCCCAAGCGTCCGGGCTTCCCCGGGCTGGGGGAACCGGCTCCCTCTCTTCTCAGACTCAGGCGGCGGCTGGCGTTATGGAGGCATTTATGGCTTCTGAAGCTGTCATTTGCAACCTCTTAAAGCACTTTATAAGCTTCTCTCAGAGATTATTCAGGGAGGACTGGCTCTGGTGACCACGCCTGCCAGGTGCAGTGGGCAACTCGACAGCCAGTGGAGCTTTCTCGAGTTTTCTGCATGGCCCCTCTGGGCTGGATTGAGGGTGCCGGGCCCCCAGCGCCCCACCTCCTCACAGCGGCCCTTCCCCCACTTTCCTGTCTTCTCCCCCAGCCCACTGGGGCCAGGAACTGCCTGGAGCCACTCCTGAGCTCTGTGGTGCTTGGCTGAGCCCCTGAGCTCCGCCCTAATGCCAGTAGCCTGGATTGCCACAACCAAAACTATTGAGAGACTGTGGTCTGCCACCAGTGGTGTCCTACTGTGCTGGAAAGAAGGATAAACTTGAGTCACTCTAGGGAAATGATGCTCCTCGAGCACACAGCGGTGAGACAAATCCCACCCACAGGCATGAGAGCTGCATGGTTTCTCCCATTTGGGAAATACAAAGTAGAAACAAATGAAAGTGGGGCTGGGGAGATAGCTCAATAGAATAAGCGCCTGCCTGGCAAGCGCATGATCCTCAGTTCAATCCCCGGTACTCAAAAAAAAAAAAAAAAAGAGCAAGAAGAAGATAGGGGGCTGGGGAGATAGCTCAGGGTCTAAGCACCTGCCTGGCAAGCACAATGACCTGGGTTCAATAACTGGTACCACATACTATGCGGGCCCCAAAACCGGGCGTATCAAGACCCTGTACCAAATAAGTAAGAGGATGGGAGATAAGGAGACAGATGTTTTGCAAATCTCAGGGAGGAGAAGGGGACATGAAGCTAGGGGTCTAGAAATTGGACATAAAAACTAAAGTGTAGGGCCAGCCTAAGTACCTGGCTAGCAAGCACAAGGTCCTGAATTCAATCCCTGGAACAACAAAAACAAAAAAAAACCTAAAGTGGGTTGTATCGCAGGTACAGACCGGCTCCCAGGGTGAATGCTGTCACCGTGTGCAGCAAACACAGGCTAATGAACATAAACATTAAAAAATAAAGTTGTGTTATAATGAAACAGGAAAAAAAAAAGAAAGGCATTGCTGGTGCGTCCAGTAAGGGCGAAGGTGGCAACAATGCCCCAGGTGAGAACCAGAGACAGGGTGGGCGTGGCCTGGGTTCCCAGAGGATGAAGGGGGCACCGCTGGTCAAAGACACTGCCTCGGCCCCCCGGGACCCCTGCCCTAGCTCTGTTGAAGGCTGCGGTCATGCCCCTTGGATAGCTGTGGAGGGGCTTACGGGGGACAATGCCTCTGCTCCCCCACCCAGCAGCAGGGGCTGTCAGGGAGGAGGGGGCCCGGGGACCAGCGCACCGCTGCGCACACAGACGCAGGCCTTGGCAGGGGCTTGTCTCCGAGGGAGGTTTTGCACCGCGAGCTCCATGGTTTTTGTTTCCTACAGAACACCCAGGGTTCACACCCCTTATGTAAGTTTTGTTAAAATTTTTTTAATATTTCACCAGAGTTGTCACATTTACTGGCATGATGTTATTCATAGTATTTTCTCTTTATTCCTCAAATGTCTACCAGGCTCATTTCTGATTCTGTCTCTGTCTCTCTCTCTCTCTCTCTCTCTCTCTCTCTCTCTCTCTCTCTCTCTGATATAGATAGGCAGGAGACAAACAATGTTACTCACCTTTTCAGTTAACCAATGTTTTGGCTTTATGATTTTTTTCTAGTGCCCATTGGCTTTCAATTCCATTGATTTTCACAAAAGAGAGACAGAAATAGAGACAGAGACAGAGAGGACAGACAGAGGCAGAGACTGAGAGACAGGGAGCATCTCAGGGCCCTCTCTCTCCCCTCGTGGGACAGTGCCAGGCAGCCAGCCCTGAGAACACGTAGAAGTCAGGGTTCCGCCCACCAGGGTGCCTATTCATAGCTTCTACCTCAAAGCAGGCTGTTGCCCAGATGCCGCTTTCTCTCCGCAGTCAGCAGCGCCCAGCCTGCGGGTGCAGAGCCCAGACGCCCCGCTCAGCCCTGCGCCAGCTCCCAGCTCCCCCGGCTCTGGCCCCAGACCCCCAGCTGGGCGGGGCCCATCTGTCTCAGGCGGGACTGCACCAGCAGCTGCCTGGGTGACCCTTTCACAACCTCCTGGCTCCTGTGGCCCGCGACACAACTCTCTTGGCTTCAAGGCACCACAGGCCTCAGGGTCCTCCTTGGCCCACTCAGTGCACAGCATGAGAATGGGGACAGCCTCCAGGCCCCCAGCCTCGCCCTCCCTAGTCAGGTGACTGCAGGGACTCCGTGGGCCGTGGGCCGTTCCTGAGTAGGGCTGTGGAGAGTGCTGTGGGCACCGAGCAGAGCGCCCAGCACCTCCAGGCTGAGCAGCATCTTTGACACCTGAGCTGGAGACTGTGCTTTGCAGAAAAAAGAAATTTACGGGGCACGAGATTGGGCCGCAGGGGCAGGCCCGGGGGTGAGCAGAGCTTGTGCTGTGGCCTCAGGACGGTGCCAGCCAAGCCAAAATCCACTTGGCAGCCTGGAGCTTGCTTCACAGATTCAAAGGGTGAAAGCTGCTAGGAACCCAGGCAGCCTAAAGCACCATCAGGCTGAGGCAGGGCACGAGCCCCC